AAAATGCAATGCAGTTTTTCTCACTTGCATATGTATTGGTGAAGAGCATCTAACATGAGGACGAAGCGTAAAGTTCAAAATAACGTTGCAAAAGATTACCAAACTGAGTTTAAAAGTGCTTACCAAGGCCAGTCTTTCAATCTGTAAAAAGCTATGTAAAAGAGACAATTGGAAGATATTAATGTCTGTATTATTATATGTATTGGAGCTTAACCCCTAACAGTCGTGAAAAAAGGAAATGATCTATGAGTGCAAAAAACGTTTTTATTTCTTGACAATTTTTTTTATCAGTACCTTTTAAAATGTAGGAAGAATAGTGTAGAGCATACCATGCTTGTTAATATTTAAGTTTGAAGGGTTTAACTGTAATAATTAAAGTGTCAAACTATTGCGGTTGGAGCACCTCCTTACAACCGTGAATGATTAAAAAGTCGTTTTCAGTAAACGATTTCTTTGTAAGATAAATACGAATGGAAGGACAAGCTGATAAGTACCTTGAATCCTGAAAAGAAGATTTCTGTCCATGGTGATAAATCGTCAGAATTGTGCAGAAGTACTGGGTCAGTGAACGCTGTAGCTTGTACAGACTCTTTTTCAGTTGGATGTGCTGAAAGGAAACAAGAAAATATATAACATTTAAGAATCCAAAAAAAAAGACTAATATGCCTTCATTACGTACGTGGGTTTAAGTAAAGCACTGTTAAAACTTTTGTCACCTGGCAATCGTCTTGTGGATTAGCTGGGAGGCGTGCTAAGTTCATCTCTGCCATTTTGGATACCTAAGATCAATAAAAAAAGTAACTTTATGGCTAAAGAGTTAATTAAGGTTATTATTTTCATCTTCCAGTCGCTTATTTTGCGGCTGGTCGATCACGTCAAAGCTTCGTTTCAGACAAATGCACACTGTAATGGTCCAGGCGTTTTACCTGCTCGGCAAAGGTTTTCGCTTTGAAGCACCTTTTTCTCTGAGGGATGTAGTTCTCTCAGCTGTTTTTTCACCAAAGATTCCTTGCTTGAGGAACACGTGCAAAATCCACGGTATCCACGCGTTCGTTTGTTATTATTGCAAAAAATCTGTCAGGTGATAATATGAAATATACGAGATATACGACGTGTTGTGTCCCCTCTCCAGTCCTGCGACAAACATCATTTGCGGAGAAGGACTGGCGACCACTACACAGCTCGACAACTTCCTGTTGTCACCGAATTCTTTTTCATATTGTAAGTTAAATATATGCCTTTTCAATCATCTTTGTGTCTTCAGTAAAGTTCCAACGTAAATGTCAAATCTTGAAGCCATTTGTACAGTCAGTTTGTGGAAGGGACCTAATTATTCCTTTTTTTGCTAAATTTTAATTTAATTTTTTAGACGTAGAGTAGCAACTCTTTCACGCTTCAGTATTTATTGTTTTAGTGGGTTCGGCAAGCGTGTGTCATAATCGTACCCTTACACTGAAGAATCACCGTCAAAATCCTGACCCAGTTCATTAATTACTGCTAGTGAGTTTGCAGAAGGTTTGTCGTTATATTTTAAAATCATTAGCTGACCTTCGTTTTTCTGACCGTAGTCCATTTAAGACTGCAACTGGTAACTGTTGTCCTATTTTTTTGTCGGTAAAGGAAACATAAGTTTCCTTGCATCTCTCGTAATGGTGGTTTCTAGTACAGTTTTAAAACAAATATCACGGCAAATTCTTTGCCTTGTTGTTCATATTTTCTTTTTCATTTCCATGACTTATTACTGTGCTCTCATTTGATAGCGATACCCATCACCCATTTTAGTTCGTTCATTTCTCTCACGTACATTGAAGGACCCGAATCCGTTAAACGACGTAATGGAACCTTTCTTTCCGTACTTGTCGTTTCCTTGTGTTAGGATTCCAAGGTATTTTGATAATAACCTTGTCCATGTTGTTGCTTGGTATTGCGTACTGAACATTCTGGCAGTTTTCGTACTTGCCGGACTGAGAGCGATAAAATGTGCCGCAATCTAGACATTAAGCGATGTCTTTCAGTCGTTCTCATTACACTCAAGCTTCTCCATTGTGCTGAATTAGTGGTGGGTGTCTAACGTAGCTTGGTAACTGGCATTAGTCGTAAGTCATTGCGTTGCTTCGAATTGCTTCGTTGTTCATAGTGAAGTCGCGTGATGGTACAGTCTCTTGCTTTGTCTCGTTTCAGAATCACCTTCTAGACATTCAAGACACGGAATTCTATGCTCAGATTCTTGAACATGCCATGGTGTCATGTGATATATGATAGTCTGTGGTAATTATATCAGCGGATTTGACCCTGAGTACGTCATCCTTCTCTATTCGTCCATCCAAGCGCAAGCTCTTAAAAAAGGCTGAGCATTAAATGAGTTTCTGTGAGAAGCTTATTTTTAGGACAATGCAATATTTTAACTACTGAACCGTTATGTTCGTCATTCCTTTATTGTTTTCTTTAAGCAAAAGCGTCACATTGGAGGTGAACAATGAGAAAGTAAATAACAAACAAAATACAAAGAAGCACGCCGAAGCTGTTATTATGGATAAGCCTGAAGTTATCAATTAAACGTTTTTTGTTTGAATGCCTCGTGGCATACAATTTGCATTTCGAAATGATAGTGATTAATTTTTATTGTGATGAATGGGTTTTTTTTATCATAACACTCGTTTGTGTGCGATGACCCACAAAGCGGTGACCCTATGTTTGTTAGCAAATCACGGAACTTCTGTATCGGATGACTTGAATGTAAGAAAAGAGATTTGATGCGAAGAATTGGGGACCATTTTTGGGGGTGGGGTCGCGGGGGTACTGCATGTAGTACATAAAAATTAAAAGGGGCCTGTATGACTCACGCATCACCTTGCGGCAGTCCGCTCTTGAAAGTTATCATTTCTGACGTTTCCATCCCTTGCTTCGTCTCAACCTCGAATCTAGTGTTCCACCTATTAATCAATTGCCGTATTGCTACGCTTAACCACCGAGGGAATCGATGAAGCTCAAACATCTGTCCCTAACCATCTGTGATCTATCGTGTCAAAGGCCTTTCTAACAGCGACCCAAGCGATACTGAGATTCCGCTTCCCACTCTGACTGTCTTGACACACCATTCGATCAATAACGAGGTTGTCAAAAGTTCCACTGCATTTCTCTCTCGCAGCACGCTGCTCTCGCTCCATCAAGCCATGCTTTTTAAGGTGATGATTCATTGGTTTTAACTGGCACGAAGTAAACCACTTGTAGATGGTATTTAACCAGGCTATCGGGCACCGATTTTCGCTGGAAAATTGACCTGGCTTCGGAATTAATGATGTTATACCGCCCGTAAACCACCAAGTAATGTCTTGAGGTTTGTTTGCGATTGCTTAAAAACTCTTGTTGGACACTCCCTCGTCCACCAAAAATTAGCGATTTTGTCAGGCCGAGGAGCACTCCCAATTCTTCTTCTTCGTTATAACTTTCCTAGCTGACGTGTACTCAAATGTAAATCCATCTTCTCGGGGTTCTGAAACATTCTCCTTGATTGCCTCTCTCACTACTCCCAGCCATGGCGCTGAAGGGTCTCCACTTCCTTCCTGTTCCCATAACAGGTTGCAGAAATCACTCGCTTCCTTAACCGGATGTTGGGATGTCCGTCTTCAGCTTTTTGCAGCTTTTCCTGGTCGTAGCTTGGTCTCTCACACTCCGCTTGACTTTCGATATTTTTTCCAAAGTCACACCTCTTGTATCAAGCTGGGACTTCCTGTGTAGCTCTCTGGATTCCTCATTTTTCCTCCAACGTTTAAATTCTTTTTATCAGTTTTCTCAATTTTGACTTTTCACACTCTATATAGCTTACAAGCTCCGCAACGGATAGCCGTTTGCAAACTTCTAATAGCTTTGCTCGATTTTTCTTTCCTTCCTTTTTGTCAGATTCTTGTTTGTCTTGTACATTTCCATTTCAGCCTTTTTTTGAAATAACTAAATTACAACACAAACAAAACAAACAAAAAAGGTTTAAAAAAGTACAGTGCGACTACCCAAAAAAGACAGGAGCAATAAACCAACGATGATTGTGTACTATCACTCAGATATATCTAGTTAAATACAAGATTTACAATTCTTTCAAAAATATTTTTTGGTACTTCGTTTCATTTTATCCATTTCAGCCTTGGCGATTGATATGTTCTTCTTAATTTCTTTCATTTCTCCTCAAATTTTGCTGTTACATTGCATTGTTGTTATTATCATTATCATCATTATTATCATCAACGAAATGCTTAGCTCTGTTGGATGTTGTATCGACATTATACCAAGGGAGCGAGCCATAGCCAACGGGAAAAGGTCCCTTGCGTAAGTTCTCGTCCTTCAACTTTCCGAAATACCTTTCTTAAGATCCTTGCTGTTCGCAACAAAGATGTTTTCTGCAGCAAACCCGTATTAATGGTAATCCCCAGCTTGCCAAGCCATGTATCCATTCTTTTGTTTACTGCACCGAGTGCACCAACCACTACCGGTACCACTTCCACACGTCTAATACCCCATAATTTTCAAATCTCCCTCTTCAGATCTTGGTATTTCTCAACCTTTTTACTCTTCTTTTCATAAACTCTGTGATCCCATGGTGAAGTAATATCCACAATAATTGCCTTGTTACTCTCTTTCTTATCAACAACAATATCAGGTCTTCTGGCCTCAATAATATGGTCACACTGGATGGTCATGTCCCACAATATCTTACATCTTTCATTTTCCTCTACCTCATCCTGTTGGTGTTCATACCACTTCTCATTTCTGTTCTAGCCATACTTACAGCGGAGCTTCCAATTGGCCAGCCTGGCAATGTTGTCATGTCTTCGGCTCTTGTACTCTTTTCGCGCCAAACACTTACACTCACCAATTATATGAATTATTGTTTTACCCTTTTCGCCACAGAACCTACAAAGTGGGGAGTCCACGGAGTGGTCCATGTTGAATTAGCATAGTTTGCTCTCAGTGCTTGTACTTGGGCTGCAAAAATCAGTGCTTCAGTT